TGCATGTACATACCTGTAAGTACAAATGAGTCTGTCTAATGTGTGTTTTGTGAGCATGTTCACGTGAGCAAATGAACATGTTATCATGCTCATGTGAGTGAACGTCTGAGCATGTCTGTGTGAGAGAATGGGTGAGACTGTCCATATGTGTGGGTGACTGTGAGTTAATCTGTCACTATGTCCTTTGGAGTGAGTGAAATGTGAGCATGTTATAGTAAGTAATTGAACGTGTGTGTTCATGTATATTATCAACTTTTATGTTTGAGTAATTTCATAAGTTTATTTGTGTGTTTGAGCACACACATAGGTATTTGAGTCAATGGTAACCAAGTTTCATATTTAATATGTTGATATGCATCTGTGACTGGGTGTGTTAATATGTGCAAGTGATTATATGTGTCTGTGTGCAAGTGAATTCTAAAGCATGTTTGTGTTTGTAAGTGAATAGGTGAATGTGTGTGCGCATAAATTAAAGAACACACAGATGAGTAAATGTGTCAGTGTTGATACAGGTGAGTGAATGAGTATGCAGTTATATAAGCATATTTGGGGGGGATGAGTGAACATGTGTGCATTTCACATGTGTAGCCACACTGATTTGAGTGTATTTCCTTGTTTGAATGGGTGAACATGTGTGTGAATAAGTGTATCCACCAGTGTGAGTAAACCTCTGAGCACGATCACATCAGTGAATAAATGTGTGTGCATGTACACGAGCAAGTCCATGTGTGAGACTGATGTGTGAGCCAACTCATGTATAAGTGTGTTGGTGTGAATATATTTGTGTGTTTAATATTAAATACACAAATATTTAATATTAAATACATATTTGTACTTACTCAAGGGGGAAGGATATAGCTCAGGGGTAGAGTGTGTGCTTAGCATGCATGAGGTCCTGGGTTCAATCCTCAGTACCTCCATTAAAAATAAATTTTTAAAAGCCTAATTACCTAACTCCCCCATCAATTTTTTTTATCTGTACCTATTCATGTATACGAGTAAATCTGTGATTTTGTACATGATGTTAGCACGTTCATGTGTATGAGTTAATATGTAAGCACACTACTTGCCTAGGGTTGCTAATGTGTGAGTAACTTTATGAGTGACCGTGTAAGCATATATTTATGAACGTCTATGTGTATCTGTGTGAGTCTGAATGTGTGAGCTTCATTAAGTGTGAAAATGTTGATTTGCAATTGAATGGGTGTGCTCCTGCTTGTGTTAATTTGCAAGCCTGACGGCCTGGAGAGTGTAGTATGTGCAGAATCTGTGCACGTGTGCAAGTGAGCATGTATCAGCACGTCTTTATTTTGGAATAAACTTTTGATCATGTTTGTGAGTGAATGGATGTCTGAGCATTTTTGTGAGTGAATGTTGCAAACGTATTCATTTATGTGAGCTCCTTAATGGAAGAATGTTTCTACAAGTGAATGTGTGTGTTTGGAAGCATGTTCATTTGCAAGCTAAGGTGTAAGCATGTCCCTGTTTGTGGGTGTTTGTATGCACATGTAAGGAAATGTGCGTGAACATGTAACATATGTGACTGTGTCTTATATATGAGTGATATTGTAACCGTGTTCACATAAGTGAATGTGTGAGCCAGGCTGAGTGAATAAACATGTGAACATATTTTATGAGAGTTACTAAGAATATATGTGAATATGTTCACGTCTGTGAGTGAATTTATGAACATTATTTGTCTGTGAGAGTGCATGTGAGTATATTTGACGACGTGAGTTAATCTGCACGCAAGTGAACGTGTGTGTCAATGTATGTGAGAATGTGTGAATGACTCTGTGCATATGGTCATATTTAGCAAGTGAGTGACTGAGAACTGTCATACATGTCAATATACAAAGTTTGAGTATATTTATGTGTCCATTAGTTTGTGAGCATGTGTGAGTATGCTGATGTGAGACAGGGACTGTGAGACCGGGACTGAGCATCTCCTTGCTGAATAAATATGCAGGCCAATTCATATGTGATTTTGTTACTGAGTATATTTGTGTGACTAAATACATGCTTGTGTGTTTATGCTTTGCATATCATTTATGATCTTGTGCATGGGTTTTTGGCACATCCATTTGTGTAAGTGAATGTATCATAGGGTCTTTTGTGTGAGTGTGCAATATGTGATTCTATTTGTGGCAGGAGTGTATGAGAGGGTTTATGTCAGTGTACCTGAGTGAATGTCAGCATGTTCCCATGTGTGTGTTAATGTGTGTATGTAAGTGAACGTGTGTGTGTATGTGAGCAGGTATGGGTATGTGTACAAGAAGGTGAGTTTGTTCATGTGTGAGTGAACATGTTCATGCGTGAAGGGGCATCTGTGAAAATAATTGTGAATGAATATGTGAGCATGTTTTGTGAGTAAGTGAATGTGAGAGTGAATGTGTTTCTGCGAACACGGCTGTGGCATTGGAGAGCTGGGGCTGGCATGGTTTCTGGGGGTAGAGAGTTCAGCTGCTCAGTACAAATCTGATATTTGGGGCCAAACACAAGTACAAGAAATATTTTCCAGGGTCAGACAAGGAGAAGCTGGTGAGGGGGGAAGCCATTTGATTCCCTTCCAGGCCAACCATACTCTCCCTGAGGCCTTTCACATCTATGAAGGCAACCATGTGGGTTATTGCAGTTCTAGGTGATATGAACAGAAGCAAATGATGCTACAGTCAAACAAGATGGTGTGCTATCCACCTCACATTTGGTACCTGGGTCAGATAAACTGGTCATGGACTCCGCCCACCCGTGTTCACAGACTTACATTAGAGTAGCTTCTGGCTATTGATGGTTAGGGGAATAGGCTCATTTTAATAAATGAGATTCATGGGGGAGCTTGGCTCCCCCCGTGAGGGAGAGGTATATCCTACATGTACTAAAATCATGTTGGCAGAAGTAAGCCCAGAATGTGGTTAAATTTGCCACCATATGTACTGCTGTGACTGAGGCTAGGTGCAGGTTTGTTTTGGTGGGCAATTGTACATCCCTTCTGGTTCAGATTGGTGACTGTTGCTTGAGTTTCCTGCCAACTACCAGTAACAAATGGTCCGGTGGGCCAAGTTATTTCAAAAAATAGACATCAACTGAATTGTACATTTGGCCCATTTCTGTCCCTGTTTATCGCAATGTTGCTGTGTTTCAGTGGGGGACTACCTGTCCTGTTGCTTCCATTTGAGGGGAAATTTCTTTTGGGCAGCCATTTGTATAGCTTTCATTGCCTCAGAGGTGGCCTGATGGGAGGTGGTCATGTGACTATACCAACAGGTTTCCTCCCAGGTTAGTTTTGCCACTGGGCTTCGTTATTATTCTCCTGTAAGATGTGGTGGGTCTGTTTCAAGATTCCCCAGAAGAGTAACATTGGGTTACACTTTCCCTCAAACATTTCCCAAGTTCTTGTTAATGATGGTCTTGGTAAGCCTGACAAATTTTACAATAGCTGTAAACAAGTAGTTGTCAATTTGGAAGGAAAAACTCCCACAGAGACAGTAGTTAGAGTTCTCCACGGGATCAAATATGTTTCATGAGATTTGTCTTTGCTGTCACACCCAAAGGCTTTGGCTGTTTACTGTGGGCAGTCAGCGTTGCAACTGTCGAAAAGCCCATTTCCAACTGAGTATGAGGTAAATCTTGAAGTTGGTATTGTGAGAAGGTCAGGTTAGGAAAGAATTCCCAAACTGGGAAGCCTCTGACTTTTTAGACATGCCTTGTCCCAGATAATATTATGTTGCATACATTCCTTTTCTTGTATATATATATATACACATACAGTGTGTGTGTGTGTGTGTGTGTGTGTGTGTGTGTGTGTGTGTGTGTGTGTGTGTGTGTGTGTGTGTTATATATATAATAAGAACGAAGTAAGTAATATAGGTAGGTACGGTCGTCGTCGTAGTACTTAATTATTATTTAGTTAGAGTATACTATAATAAGTAGTAGTA